ATTTATCTGTAGACTAGCTTTGAACGTAAATCTCGTATTCATTTCAATATACTTCGACGGTTTCCTATACAACACTTCGAACTTAGGTTAATATCGTCGGAATGCTTGTAGGGTAGTGGTTAGAGGAGCCCTGCCCTGCAGCCCTGCATGGATTCGATCCTGCGCCACAGGCTCACCAAGCCCTTCACTTATCTGGAGTAGGCAAATTGGTACCAGACCTGTCTGGGAGGATAGCAGACACATAGGATAGGATAGCAGCATTGACTTGATGCAGCGGTATGACATCCGTAGTATACATACAGTATATTATACAGGCCAGATACGTTCACAGTCACCTCTAACGATGTTTGGCGAAGTCGAATGCATGGCGTATCCCTCAGAGATTGATCACCATCGAGAGCTTTATCCTGTTTTCTATCGTCAGAATCCAGCATGTACCACACAATTCTACATGATCGTCGTCGAACAGCTTCAGCTTGCTGAAGTGTTTCGAAGCTTTATTTCGGCCGCAGTACGAGTGGGATATGGTAGTTCTGTATCAAAAACCTACTTTTTGTCGTATGTCGCAGTATAAACGTCGAACAACTATAGAATAGTTAATATTTTGCTCTACTGCTTCCCGGAGGGATAGAACGCTTGGTGGACCATGGGCGCGTGTGGCACAGTGGTTGGAGGCGCTCAGCAACACACACGTGGAATCTATACCCGCGCCCATGGCCCACCAAGCCTCCATCTGCCGAGGTCGGCAAATTTGTGCCAGACTTGTCTGGGAGAAACTAGCACAGGCTTGATACATCGGTAGGCCACCGCGAGGCGTTTTAAAGGCCAGATATGCATTCAACCACTTCCAAAGGATGCTTAATGAAGTCGAATGCATGGCACATTCCTCAGGGAATGATCAACGCCGAGAGCTTTATCCTTCATTTATCCTTTTACTACTACTATTCGAGTTATTTCGTATAGACGTGCTTCAGTAGTAGCTCTCGAATGGTGGTTGTTAATTGTAAGGCAACCCATCATCCTGAGTATTCTCGTATACATTGAAGAATTTTTGGGAATAGTGTTCAGCAGTAGTTCATTGACGGTGCCTCAACCAGCAATCCGATTTGGACCACGGATAGTTTCCGTCCATTTAACTACTCATTTAATACTTTCGCGACGATACGCATCGACTTCGATGCGTATATCAAGAGAAAATTGGCCGCTTTCAACTTCAGCGTAGTATATCTCAGTTCTTGCTGAATTTTATTATTTGAAAGAAAGCTCTTCCGGCGGTCAAATTTTAGCCTACATGACACAAGTTCTTTTGTCCTACAAAGGCAAAATTATGTTTTAAGGCCATGAAACCACTTTTTTTCACTTTTTCCATCATAGGTCGTATTTAGAACGAGAAAGCAATTTAACAGACAAGAATTCGTCTAATAGGATACGATGGTGTTTCCTGGATGCATAGATAATTTTTGCGAAGAAAACTCCAGTAATTGAAGCCGCTCTTTCGATTCTTTGTAAACTTTAATTCTAAACAAACCTAGAATTGAAACGATAAGCTATAATACTTTGAATGTAGTGAACACATTCAGCAAAACCGTTCGAATTTGTATCTCTTCATTTTTGCCTCCATGTTTAAGAAATGAGCCAGTATATAGTGAAAAATAAATCATTAAGTAAGCGCTAGAGTTTATATTAGATAGAACTAGCTGAGAGACAGGCAAAACGAACGACCCGCATGGTGTGGTGGTGAACGTGTTAGCCACTGGGAGGGGTAATAGCGCGTTCGTTCCCCACCGCAGACACCTGCGGTCCGGAGTTTTGAAAATATTTCATCATCATTGTGGTTATATCAGATAATTCATATTGAGATGCTTCAAAGAAGTTTGTCCTAAAATAGAGAATAAAAACATAAAGCATTTACCGTTGATCAATTCCTTAGAAGGATCAAATCCATTAGGCAACGTGGAGGTGATTGAATGCATACGTGACCAACAGTATTACTTGCTGTGCTCTTCCGATATCCAGTTCGTGTTCTTATCCTTCTAGCTTAAACTGAAACCAATTTTACGACCCCAGGAGGATAGGGTGCTTGTTTTACTTAACTAATGGACATGCTGCATTAAACCAGTAGATTATGAATGGTGTTCCCTCCGTTGAAGCACTGCTACCTCTGTTTTCACTTCCTTAAAAAAACAAAAACTAATGACTACACTTAAGGTGGATAACCTACTCCCGGGTTTCTATTTACCTACACGGCAGGTTTTAGTGTCAGAAGAAGAGGAAACTCTCTCTCGTGCTTGCAAAGATAACAACTTCATGTAAAAATTTCACTTCTAGACAACCATGCCGTTGATTTTGCGAGCAGAACTTCTTCAAGCGTAGGCTACAGTATCTTCCGATGATCGAGTTGGACAATTTGATTCCGTGCTCGCTTTGCTTCTAAGGGAACAGCATCAGTATGGGCGGCAATTCAAGTTTTTATGGATCATAAAAGATTTCTGAGTTAAGTTCACCACTTTATTGTGAGCCCTAATGAGTAAGATATTGTGAACAATGCATGAGAAAGCAAGCCAATCGCTCGTTCGACAACTAGATTTCCTAAGAAGAGTTCAAATATTCTCACGATGGAGTTAATATAGTAAGCCTTGCAGAAATATGCAAGGGTTCCTCGAAAACTGAAACTTGATCCGGTTGGCCAAAAACTCAATTAAAAGAAATCCCATGAACAACGTCGTTCTGCAAAACAAATGAAATTTTAAAGTAGTCGAAAAAAAACCGATGTGGACTGGTTTCGTAATCCACTGCGGAGATCTTTCCTGCAAAGGCTGTTACTATACCAGTGCTGGACGCCTTCTTCGGCTATTGCTGAAATCGTTTTACACAAGACCTTGCTACATATGAAGCGCCATACACTTGACTCCATTAAGTATCGTTTGGAGCCCATTGAATGCATATCTGGCCTTTACAATGGCTTTTACAATTTGTCGATCCCTGAGGGATGTAGGGTTGGATGGGCTTCGGGCACGGCGATCGATCTCGTGTGTGCTACAGCGCCTTCGACCACTGCGCTTCACACGCCATAAGCTATATATATACATATATATATACATTACATATATACGAAATACTTGCAGTTTTATTAAGAACTTCACCTGATAGTCCACTTGGAACTGAAGTCTTTTCGACTTTATAAAGCTTCTTCCTATGAAAATACTACTTCAATACAAATTTTTGTAGTTTTTAAGAAATCCCATGTACTTCCGTTATATCAGCGAATTACAACATAGTGCTGTCCTCTATGCTTTCTTTTTCTTTTTTTTTTAAATTTCTTTTTTAAAGTGTCAACATGTAACGGATCCCACACGTTGTCTCATCTGTGATGCGTATGCATTTTGAACAGAATGTCAGGATGATCAATGGCCAGATTCTCCCTAGAGGTTTGATGGCGGTGGTGGGAATCTTGGAAATAAAAGAACCAAGCACACGAAAAGATAAGGTAGGCTGGAAATGACTGCATCATTTCTGGATTTACGATTCAGTAGAGGCCATATTCTCGAGTGACGTGATCGACTTTTGGAACAGCGAGACATGAAAAGATGTCGCATTTAAAAAGCAAGGCAGAGGATTGACATCTTCCGTTGCAAACCAGTTCTTCTCTTTCGTGTGATATCAACAGTGCAGCCAGTACGTAAAATGATAAGCGGGATCTAAAAAGCCTCCCGAGGGAAGTCTTAAAGAAGACTCACCTCAGCCGTTGCTGTTTTTGCTGCCACAATAGACATGGGATATATCGAGTGCAGTTGTAATTTCTTTTATGTACTGTAGGAATTTGTAATAAGCGAAGATAACAGTTGAAATGTCAAAGGATTTAGTTCGTATAAACATTGACAGACGGTAGATAAGACTAAGTCTATCGAATGCTGCATCGCTTTATCTCCTGACAGGCTGGGTATGTTGTCCTTAGAAGCTAGGAATAACAAAAATGACGAAATTCTCGTTATAGTAGGATATTCTCGTTTGAAGATATCTACAAAGATTTCGGCTAGAGAAACCGATCGATAAAGGTCGATATTGGAGCCTTATTGATAACTGAGATTCTTCTTATTTTCGATGACGACACGTTAGCAGAATAAAGAACTGGAATTCTGTCTTTTTTGCCGCCATTTTCATAATTTACCTTCCGATGAATCGCTATAGAAGAAGGGAACTGTATTATCTGCTAGCAGCACTCGAAAGAAAAGCATATCAGACATATTCTGCTTGAAGCAAAATCTCAACTCATCTGTAGTAAAGAAAAAAGGAACGTAGAAACAGAATGGTAATGGGACGGAAAGATGTCAGACGGTTCCGTCATCTTATAATGTCCAGCAAAATATTTCTTCTTTTCAAAGCTTAGATGTGGATTTTTTTAAAAGACTTCTCGGATTTCTCTAAGGTTCTTGTCCTCACTCATGGAAAACTATGTGAATGGGTTTTTTCTCTGTTAAGAAAATATATGATGACTATGTTCTCAATTATTTCAGCATCTACAACAATGCAGTGGCTCAGAATGACTTGAGAAGCAGGAAAACCAGTGATGAAGAGATTTCCTTGAAAAGAACTGATAACACGGTCTTTATCAAGTGGAGTAAATTTTTAGTGAACGAATCAGAATGACTGCCACCACATTAGTGACCTGCCCACTGCAGTGTAGGAAGAAAAATATCAAGAATAGGATGTGGAATCTATGCGGGAAGTGGGTAAACTAATTCTATAAAAGTGTTCCTATCGCATCTGGGACAACTTGTTTTTCCTTACCGAAAAATTCACGCCGATCACTTTCGCTCATCCAGACAGACGGTGATGGCTGGCAGCTAAAGTAGCGTTCCCATACGATGAACACTTCCAGGATGAGGATACGATCCCGTTCCGAGTGGAAAGTGTGAGTTTCCAGACTGTGGGCGGGGCGCAGAGCAGCGCGACGGCGGCGGCCGTAGACGCTCGCAGCGGTCGATGGCGCAGAGTCTGTGATGGAGGGTCTGGATAGCGGTGGTTTAGCCACTGACCCTCTGCTCAGTGCAGCCCTCTCATCCCCACTTGGATCGTCCCGTGAAGATCTCTTCCTGCACGATTTCGCCAGGTCCAGTCCACATCCAGGCACCTTATTCGGGTAAGCTGCTATGCATCGTGTCCAGTGCGTGACTTCCATTTTATATTGTTAGTTAGAAAAAAATTCCGTGTTATGTTACTCGTTTCAGTAATGTTTGTCGTGAGATGTATTGCATAATTCCATCATTATTTTCATTCTTTTTTCCATTATTCATCTGTGATTCGAAATCTGTTCGAGTACTTTCCCACGGAGTTCATCACTTCCTGTTTTCATTCTCACAAAGCAATCCACCGTGTGCTTCTATTTCCTTTTAGTTTGCCCTTAGAGTTATTAACTAAACGTTTTCAATCGATTAGAGGAACATATTGAAATATTTATGGTGTATAACGCACAAAAATTCCGTTTTCAAGTTCCCTGCCTATGTATTGTACAAAATGCGTGCTCAGAGAGGGAATTCCTTCTCGGCGTTTCCGATCGTAGTTTTGGTTGAGGGCATGATATTCATGGAGCTACTTCGCCTCACTCGTTTGTTCATCAAAAGCTGCAACGAGTTGAATTTTTCTGCTCCATCATTATGAGTATATAGACATGAAAGATTGTTTTTTATAGTCACGTAAAGATAAGTCGTCAATTCTAGGGAGAAATTCCCGGAATCACTACGTACTTTCGTTTATGTTGAGAGCGAGACTCTCTAGGAAATCTCTGACCCGGAGTCCTGAACCCTGAGGGGCTGGTCCTTTCCATGACCTCGTTAAGTTCTCTGTACTATATAGGATCAAGCACACCAGCATGGTTTGAGAAGTTCCTGTGAAATTTTTTCGATAAGGTCATGAAAAACAGAGTTCACTCGGCTGAACACACGGCTGTTCTGCTTTACGGCTACGCTACTTACTTATGGTTCATTGGTAATGTAGTCCTGTTTAAACGATTAATATTCATGTGTCCAACCTTTTTTAACCATATAGTTTTTCTCCTATCTATTTTACTTTTCCTTTCCATTCACTTCATAATTGAAACTTAACGTTTGCTCTTCTTAATGATTATTTTCGTAGAGCACTTACTTGGATACTTGTATGGTCCGTCTTCACGAGTTGTGCTGACCCCAGCACATTTGCCATTTGTTTCTTTCCCTTAGAGCTTTAAGGAGAACCTAGTTGAAAAAAAATTGATGTAGTGTCTGGAAATGAATATAAAGCTGCAAATCCGCGTTTGATTCGAGTTGGGTTTCGATAACAATCTGTGAGAGAAGTTATTAATCGTCTGCTCAGCTATTTTTCTAGTGAATAACTGGATTCCCAAGGGTATGATGTTAGAATATTCCAAAAACATTGTGCTCATCGAGAAAGTTCGTTGTGTGAACGAACGGAATTTGTCTAACGAATCGATGCTCTGACGCCTTCGTGCTCTTGTTTTTTCGCCATCAGTACTAATTGACCAGCACCTGATTACCCTCATGCACGTCAGGACGATTACGCGATCGTAGACCTAGGCGAACAACAGGCGTCCATCTGACAGCGGCAATCGTGGCGACCCGGAACGGAGTTGCTTGTGACTGAGCCGTACTTGTTCTCTTGGCGATCACTGGACGATATTCGTGACAAAAGAAAGAAAAGCTGGAGAACTTCCCAATGACTTCCTTAACGTGAACATCGTTGAAGTTTTATCCGACTGAGGAAAACTATCATGCAAAAGTTGATCGAAAACTGAAAATATTCTTGGCGGGAAGAAACTTGAGCGAAATGCCACTTTATAAAAAGGTCCAATGTACCAAGAGAACAAACATCACCAAAAGAGATGCTTAGTGACCTGCTGACTTTATTTTTTATTAGATTGATGGTTTTCAGTTACAGAACTAGCCCAGGGACAGGCGAAGCGAAAGGCCATCTTGGTGTGGTGGTGAACGCGTTAGCCCCCGGAAAGGGTAATAGCGCGCTCGTTCCCATCGCAGACACCTGCGGTGCGGAGATTTTACCAATATCTCAGTACCTTTGTGGTTTTCAGTTAGTTCATGTAGTAGAGTTGTTCTCTGGAATATGTAAATAGACAGAATGGGAGAAGAAATTAAGTAGGAACTCATCGACTTCACACCTTAGTCATTGAAGTGTCGCGTTTATTATAAATAATACAGCTAAAGGCTCTGATTCCATCTCACTTTAGTTCTATGTCAGTATTACAGTAACTACGCTACGTTAACCACGTTACAACCACTTCCGCCAATCTCCACAGTCACTTCCAATAGCGGAAAATTTAGCCGAACCTCGTCACCAACCAGAGAACGACAGAATAGGTGAACTCAGTACAAGCTCTCTATGTTTTCGATACTTAGTTTCCACTTTCCACAATTTCAGTTACTTTTTCCCGCCCTCTAGTCAGCCTTATAACTATAATGTGAACATCAAGTACGAGTATGATCTAAAGAACGAGGACGATTCTAATGAGTCCCCTCCCGGTGGGTAGCATAGATTTTATGAACTCAACTAGTGTCATATCTTTAGAAGAATTAAATAATAGTAGAGATGAGATAGACTTGTTTGCTTTGGAATCGTCAATTTCGTCCAGGTCACCCACCTTGTTCCACGCCATCCGAGTATGTACAATCACACGTCTCTCAGGCAAATGAAACAAACTTCTCCTCGGCTAGTTTCGTTCCAGCATATTCCGGATTAGAGATTAGGTTGGAATCCTATTGCCAGGCAATGAAGCCTAACCTGCTGTACAAAACAGATTTATTTCAGATCACCGAAATCCGAAAAGGAGTGCTTTTTTAATGGTTACACAAATGGAAAATGTGATATGGACGATGAAGTACGTCTTATTTCTTCTCTTTTGAAAAGTTTTGAAATTCTAGAGAATTTCAAAAATCCTATTCAGTCCGTCTGCTTGCCGAAAAATTGTTCACCAACGACAAATGGGCAGGAGAGTTTAGACGGAGACGAAGAGGACGACGGCGAAGAGCTCAACACTAAGGTTCTACACCTGTTTTTTCCCAGTCACAAATGGTTTTTAGTGCTTTTTGATGTTTACTAAAGCATTTTGTCGTGTTGTTAGGATCTTGCGCAAAGGATATCCGCCGAACTGAAACGGTACTCGATTCCACAGGCGATTTTTGCTCAGAAGATACTCTGCAGGTACACCTCTTTCGTTCAGACTATGTTGATTCTTTACTGGAATTTCTTCTCGTGTTGTCGGGTGAGGCCTTCGGCAATAACATGATTATGCGCTGATATGTGCGCCAGTTAGTCGGCTCTGATTGCGCTCTAGTCTAAGCCAAAGTCGATTTTCTTTTCTGATCATCGGCGTGGTCATTGCGATGAATTTCAGCTGAAGGGGTGAAGCTTCCGCAATCACTCATTTTATCCCTTACTTGCTAACATTTAAGGTTCGATACAAAAGCCATTATCGATCGAACAGGCGATCTTTGATTGCTTATGAAACCCGAATTTCTGCATGACTTTAACTGACGGGCAATAGTGTGACGTTTCTAAATTATTTGCTCATGAAGAGCATGTGTCGTTCATTCAAAGCCAGATTCATTAACCTAAACATCGATGAAGCTAATTTTCGAGTAGAACGAGAAATTCATGGAATTCTGTCTTAGCTAGACGTTCAGGCAATACGCTGACACATTGCTAATCTCCTTCAGGTCGCAAGGAACGCTGTCCGATTTATTGCGTAATCCAAAACCGTGGTCGAAATTGAAGAGCGGTAGGGAGACTTTTCGACGGATGGCTAAGTGGCTTCAGGAACCAGAATTCAAGCGGATGTCTGATCTCAGAATGGCAGGTCAGCTCTCTTCTACTCGATTCTATATTCCCGTCTTCGCTTTCCACTCTGTATCCTTCTCTCTTTCTGTCTCGCCGTTTACGTCTCTACTTTTCTCCCTCTGTCTCTCTCTCCATCTCTTTGCTTACATCTGTTTCTTTCTCTCTATCGCTCTTCCTCAGCGCTCTCTAGCTGGTGTTTATGGTGCGAATCTGTCATCATTTGCAACGCTACCTAATCTCTTAGACATCTCGACCAGCTGCCACTTGAAATCGTACGAACGGTCTCGATCTATAATTAGTGAAATGAATTGTGAACTAAATTCAACTAGTCTCACTGCCACTGGAGGTTCCGGCATATCTCCTTATTGGAGAACAACATGTTTCAGTAAGGCCGGTGCAGTTCTGCAGTGACCACGATTTAACACTTCTAACATAGTTTAGTAGTCTTTTATGATCATCAGTGGAATTAACGTTATCTACATTACTAATCACATTCTGAAAACCTTAGTTATGTTAGGAGTCAATGGATAACTAATGTCAATGACAAACCAGGTGTTTCACGCGACAGATGGCGGCTAGTGAGCCATGTAGGGAGATACGGCCTTTGGGGCCATAATGCAGAAAATTCGCCAGAGTCGTCGGAGCGCTCGTACCCGGTCAACCCGTCAATGGTCATCTCAATTGCACCCATGTTTATATGGTCAGACACCGTGCATTGAAACGAAGGCAATTATCCCTTGGTTATAGAATCCTTCTAAGGTTTCTCTCTGCAGAAAACAGTGACTCAGGGAATGTGCTATGGAAATCCGTAGTTCTTTTTTTAGCTTCACAATTTTCCATAAATGGTTTCTCATCTAATCATAGCTGAGCTACTCAGCATGTACTCGTCATTGGCCTATTGATCGACACTTTTGTGCCTTTGAAAAGAATAAGAAGGAAGTATGGCTTCGTTTGCAAATATGAGTATAATTAATGCGGTTCAACCATATCAACTTGGTATTTTATTGCGTGCAAAAATAGCAAACATAGGGTCATATTTAGCTCATACCTTATTTTGCTCGTTGCGTGAGCACAGTGAGGTCATGGCACTTATGTGCTAACTACCTTATTCCACCCATGTGGCTTTCATCTGAAGAAAATTCTGGTTGAGTAATGTTGTCAGTACAGTTCGAGACACTGAGTCATCGTTTTCTCAGCAGGGAATAACTAAGCTTCATGGAGCGGCGTTTCCTCATCTTTCTCGCGTTACAGTATACTGGGAGCGCCAATCGGAAATCGATGTGCTCGAGGGAGAGATGGGAGGGAGCGTGGATAGCTTGTAGAGGTGGAAGACCGCAAGGGGAGGAAGCCCGGAGGGGCGAGTGAACAAGCCGGCCACTACCCGGCAGGGACCTGCTGCACATATAATACCAGTAGTACTCAAGTTGGCAGCAAATCAATGCTGGCGTTTGACAATGAATGAAAAATGTCACCATACAACTATTTAATGGGAAACGTGACGTGATGTAAAGAATAAAAGCAGGAAAGCAACAACAATGGTGGAATCGATACCTTACTGGCTGTTTATCTTGGTAGAAAATTTGTGGGCTAGGCATCAGAACACATAAGGACATGACGTCATGGTCAAACAACGTTGCCCAGTTTCACGTCATCGCCTTTTACTGTGGAATGTGGTCAAAAGTGAATCGATCCGTACCTTTGGTTTCCTTAGAGTACTCATTTAGTTTTTAACTGGTAATCGAGGTTCCAGTCAGTTCTAGACGACAGAGTTTTTATGGTCTCTTTCTTCTTCTTCTTCTGATACCATAATGATAGTCAAGGTACGCTCATTGAGATCATGTTGTTAGCATGAAATGTGAGCCTTTGCGTTGTTCCAACATCCATTTGCATTCTATACAATGAGCGACCAGCTGTCCTTTCACCTGTACGTACGTTTCTTAGTAACAGAATCTCCTCTGCGTTGAGGTTTTCCAAAAAGAAGCCGGTGAGAAAGTGTTTCTTTATGATTAGTTGAAGGATAAAGTCATGTTGTCTTTTTTTTTCTCACTTATTTTCTTCTATTAGTTTGTTAAAACCCGTCTCGTTTTGCCTAGAGAGTTACACTGCCCACAGACTTCTATTCTGTCCATAGAACTCAAATTGTATCCCTTTTGAAGTGGTTTTATTGCTTATTTCTTAGAAAATTTCGCTTCTTCAAAGAGAATTGCTCTCGGAATCGTGCTAACTACATTTCTATAGGAAAACAACTGCTCATCGGTAAACAGCGACTAGGAATTCTGAGTGTGTGCAAAATTCTGAAAACGAAATCGTCCGCATGAGAAGGCAATCATGCGTGTTGCCTTCAACAATGGAATCGGCGGCTCTGAACTCTCGACCTCCTCCATCTGCTCGCCTCGTCGCGTCCACCCAGACAGAGGAGAGCAGCGGCTCATTATGTTCCGCGGCTGGCTAGGGGGACTCTCGTACTGCCTTTTTCGCCGTCTCTGCGCTCGCATTCTACATTATGTTCAATTACCTTGCAGAGTAGAGCGTTCAGCAGGGAAGAAAAGTGGGACATAGTAACGGGGAAAGCTACCTTCCATCGAAATAGTCTCAGCATCAGAAAGACGTAGCAGCATAGAATTACCCTCTATCGAAATGTTCTGCGTATCAACAAGGGATAGTAGTGGAGAGCTGCCTTCTATTGGACGAGCGGGATGTAGTAGCAGAGAAAGGTGCATCATATCGAAATGATATGTTTTCCCGTAACTTATGTGCTATGCTTAATGAAATGCATACATACATTTCTTGTAAGCTGCTTTTAATGTTGTTCTAACCAATGAAACTATTCCTTGTGTTCTGTAAACAACTTCTTTCCCAAATGCTTTTTTAAACACTCTCGTGACGACGTCTAATCTCGATTTTGTTGGGAGCTAGACGGCGCTTAATTTTCAGCCCTTGTGGACTTGCTGGTTTCTTGAAAATAAGCAATAGTCCTTCGTAACCAGAGGGATTCCAGGGTTGTGAACATGACTGGATTGCAGGAAAGACTTCCCAATCCTACTGTGGGTGTCAATCATGTTATCTACTACATGTTACCATGGTCCATCATGCAAACACACTACTGTCAGCGTTCACAAGTGGTGTTTTGCAGCTTATAGGTCTCTATTTCGGTATGTTTTATGCTCACACACTACGATCGCTATCATTCTCTATGGCGGTTAGAATCGAAATAGTAGTCGATTAGGACCCGAATTTTTGGTTAGTGAACTTCTTCGGAAAACGATTTTTTCTGCATTTCTAAGTGCAGAATAGAGTTTTTCAAAGGCAATGACCCAAACAACATTTGTGTTCTACAAGCTATCAGTTGTACAAGAGAATGGTTCTACGTGTTAATATAAAACACCGGAAAGAAAATGAGACCACATTGGTGTATTACTAGCCATTCAGGAAAAACTACTATGACACTTGTAGGTGTCACTCGTCGCGAGGGTGTTAGAAGCCTTCACTTTACGTATGACGAGTGATTATAGTATAACTGCGTAATTAACGCAGAAACGCAAAATTATTAGGTTAAGACTAGGAATACATTGTGGAAAAGAAGCTGGGTCTCGTTATGGATCACAAAAAACATCTGGGTGCTTAAAAAAAACTGCCTTTCAATTAATTTCGTCATTAATCAAGCAGGTTATTGTGTTCCTACGGAGTATCTCTGAAGAGGTGAGACGTTAGCATAAAAGCTTTTAATACACTTTTCTGGGTAATTCTTAGTGGATAAGCTTTCTCTGATGTCTTTTTCCTAGTAGATCTTAGCTGGGGCGCACCGTTATGTATGGCTATGCCATTATTCTATGAACCACTCGTTTTTTGTCGTTGTCCAATTTTTAAGTATTGAGACCACGCATATCTTGGTCATATAGAACGAGCATCATTTATTTATTCCCTCGACGAATTCACCGAAATGGAAAAACTAAAACAAGCAAATGAATAAAAATCTCGTATCACTGGTTCACAGACAGATTACAGGAGCAAATATGAGGGCGGGACATGAGGATTCGGTCGTGTAACTGAAACTAAAGACCATCAAGGTAGAATTATTAGAAAGTTGAACTTGCTAAAGCTTGAATGCTACATTATATGGTTATAATGACGTCTGCCTATAAAAACACTAAGCTCCTACCAAATGCGAAAACTTGTATGAAGGTACTCGAATGCCTGCAATTTGACACTAGACGAGCTTTGGTGAAAAGAACAGTAATCTGGTCAATGCACCAGCCTCTGAGTGGGAATGGACAGCTGTCAACACTGACGGCTTTGAAATGATGTTCTGGTCGAGTCGGACTTGACATCACAGACGATTCCGATCCCGAGATTGTGGGACAATCATTGGCGGTTTAGGCTCCGACAGTAAAGTTATAGCAGTGATACGACAAAACCAATTACCATCCGCTCAAATTCGTAGCTAACAACTACAACTAATGGTTTTTTGTCGCTAACTAGCGAGTTAAATCCGTTTTGTTGAACCAGCAAAGCTTCATTGCTATAAGTAACTTAAAGATGTTCGAGGTGACAGTAACCTATCACATTGGGAAAGTGAGGACTTGGTTCATCTTATCGTTGATGGCACACGATATTGAATGTGCAAATTTTGTGTACATATAAGTCTACAGAGATTGTGCGGCATGTTTAAAGGACTGTGTCCAACCGTCATACGTGAGTCTACTGTTGGTTTGTTCGAAACGCCATAGGCTTGATTGGCTTTTTTAGCGCATATATTGTTTGTCAATCTCATGTAAGCTCAGATCGTTTATTTGTTTGTTTATTCGTCTACTTTCTTCCGTTTTATTCCTGTTTCTGTACTGCATTGACGACATCATTACTTATTCGATATTCGTTTATCCATATATTCTCTTATCTATCTCTCTATTTGTTTGAACTGAGGTTTCTAATGAGTAAGATTAAGTTACAAATATATATATACGTATATGTATATTTGTTTGTATTTCTAATGCTTGTTACGTACCGGATACATGATTAGCTCACTTTAATGAACAATCGTATAGACCCTCATCCCCTCAAAAACAACTTCCATTTAACTAACTGCTTTGTTGTTGTTGTGGCACGGTTTTCACTTCTGGAGAGAAGCTTGCATTACCCTCGTTCTTGGTCCTGGCTGTGAGTAGTCGCTCATAATTTGTTGAATACGAAGTATACTTTCCATCTTTTGATCACATTTGTTCGAGGATGGCTTGTTGAAATCCTTCTCTATTTAAGTCACTTTGTTGGCAACCGAAGGAACGGTGGGGTGGGGAGAATATTGGATTATACCCAAGAATATATTGAAACAATGAGGCGTTCAACCATCGGTGAATGACGAAACCAATGCTTTGAATTGTTGTTAACTCACAGTAGTAATGATAAATAGCAAATGAATTAATTAGTAATTTTAACTTATTTACTGCCCACTCTTTTTAACGGCAGGGTATATATTGCGAAATATAACTTTAACGATGCTGAGATATTTGCAAAACTCCGGACTGCAGGTATCTGCGGTAGGGAACGAACGCGCTATTGTTCTTTCCGGGGAGTAACGCGATAACTTATTATTTACTGCTTGCTCTTTTCTTTTTATGACACCTTATGAAAAGTTCCAATGTACCACCAAGAGAACAAGCATCACCAACAGAGATGTTTAGTGACCTGCTGACTTTATTTTTTATTAGATTGATGGTTTTGTTACAGAACTAGCTGAGAAACAGGCGAAACGAAGGAGCCGCATGGTGTGGTGGTGAACGCGTTACTCCCCGGAAAGGACAGACAATAGCGCGTTCGTTTCTCACCGCAGACACCTGCGGTCCGGAGTTTTGCAAATATCTCAGCATTATTGAAGAATTGATTAGCATTTAAACTCTCTCTGGTGTTTGTAGGAATGGGGAGTGGAAGAAGGTTATACAAAAAATATAAACTTTTAAAATAAAATATAAACGACTTTTCTTTTAATTGCTGTTGCACTCAAGCTTTTTGGAATATCAGTGATTTTCTGTTGTTGTGTAAGATAAGAAATACGTGTTTGTTCCATATTGAATGCATTTCTAGCGTGCAAACGAAAAGAAGAGCAACAAGTCCAACATAATCAACCACAACCACCGAAGAAACCTCGCCTTGTGTTCACCGACATTCAGAGGAGGACGCTTCAGGTGAGCAGAAAGCATTTTCGTTGCAAGGCCAACCTCGCCGTTGAGGAGTACGGTACATCGCATAATAATATATGAAGTATTCGAATCAATAATTAATGAAGGACTGGATAGAATGAACTCGGTACGTTATGTTCAGCAACATTTTTTAAAATGGAATATAGGCCTCACAAGGAAACTGTAATAAAGAAATGTGCGTGTCCAAAAAATGGCGCGATTCAGTTCCACTCAGACGTCAGTGGTCACAAGTATTCTTAGAAAAATGCGAAATCATTACATTTAAAACAATATTCATTCTAATGCAGTTGAAAAGCACTTTATTGAGAATGACTGGGGTGGGGAAGGGAAGGGGGAGCTACGGTGTTCTACGTCATAATGTACTCTCCGAAAATTCACTAAAGTATTGAACTCATGGCGTACAGCGATGTACAGATGCCATAAATTCGTCGAAATCGATCGTATTCCTAATGTTTTATTCGTAAATATATTTTAAACTGATTATGATTTAATGTGTGGGAACTGTGAATACGTTTGATTGCCCTATTTTTTGGCTTGCCGCGCTCATCGATCGGTGTTTTGATCTTCAAAAGTATGGTTGTACAAATTGTTCAAATGAACAGATTGATACTTCAATAACTATGAATAGATTTGACTGCGAGTACCACTTAAATACTTATACAACTGAATACAACCTTTATATTTGTTTTTTTATATTTCTTCATTTTATAAATCACTGATAAAACGTGCTTTGAACCTACCAAGTCAACTTTATTAACCAGCTGCCTCATATTTATACAGTCAATAAGTCTTTTTATGCTAGATTACTCAACCGCTCCCAAATGAGTAAGAATTCAGTTTATTTTTGGCTAAAAACCTTCTACATAGGTCATCATCATTGTGTTTCCCATCATTCAAGTGTTTTCGTTTGGTAAAATACCTTCATTTAACTCCATGAATCTTGTGCTATTGTTGTAGTTCCTGATTAACTGACAAAACCATTCCTTATCAAAAGATGGTTATTATCTGATCAGCTGAATGGCTGTAATTCATCCTATAATCCACCTTTCCATTGGCTGATCATATTCAGAGCTGACGCTATTCAGATTTGTTAACACTCGCCTGTATTATTATCTGCTCCAGAGTGATGTAAAAATTTTCTTCGTTCCATAATTTTAGATTCTTCCTTTCCATCGGCCATTATATTTCAGCCGAGTCAACTGACTGTGACTCAAGAGGTGACGAAAACTTTGATGCTTCTCATGACATCCACTGAATATGTGAAAGAACCAACAATGCTCAGCTCTGCGCTTAGCTCTTTACCTCCAGGTTCTCCTTTCTTCCCCGATACTTTGGTGATGCTGGCACATTGCAAGCAAGACGATTGTGCACTAATTAGTGTTCAACACGTCATGGAGAAGGCGATGAATGAGGTTTACAGCTGAAGTGGGTAAAGAAAAGGATTGAATTCTGACGTTTCCCAAAGATGAAACGTGAACAGCGCCGGAAACTGATCGTTGGAAAATGCGGACCTGGCCATACCTTTTTAACCGTTTGAGCTGATTTAAAGGTAGCCACTTAGCAGAAGAGATAAGAAAATGGATTTCCTACGATGCGAAAGACAGTCACTTTATGACTGGCAAGGCAATGGTCGCCATCACCACGGAAACTGAGAACAATGGGTGTCGCTTCGTTCCCAGGTGGTGACGGACACGTGGTGATAGATATTTAACTTTACTGGTGCGATTGCAAAGTTGTGCTTATAATTGGATACTTTGTCACTATTATTTTGATTCCTTCCACTGGCTTTCTGAAGTGGCCTCCTATATCGAAATAACGGACTTCTCAGCTCTGGTAGGCGAATGAATCCACCTATATATCATCAGTGCGACGCTTGGGAATATCCCTGGGTTATAATGAAGAAAAGAACCTTTGTTATGTTTCGCAGTTATCAAAAATATAAATTCAACCATTACTTAATCCACTACAGAATAAAAGTGCACTGAGCTTCTTCATTGTGAAATTTATTTGAAAAGATGAAATGAAATTAAGGTTTTTCGAACTGAATTTTTGCATAAAACCTTCTTCGTAATTGAAGTACCGCGAACTGCTCCGTTGGAATCAGCAGCGTGTATCCACTGAATGAATCTTCTGTTGCACTGGATATTACGCTATATTAGATGCCGACCACATTTGGCCCAAAATTTTTTGAGCCACATTATAAGATACGATTTGGTGGGCACAAAGTTTACTACATTCGACCGGATTTGGGCTAATACTTCAGATGCAACGTCTATATCATCACTATCATTGTATCTACACACGTGCTCTACAAAGTCCTTATACATTTCTCACAATCCTGTCTATCCAATGAGCTATTCATTCTGTAAACTTCAGGAAATAATATATCAGTATATCCAATAGCACCATCAGGACTGGATAAAAGCGATAATGTCCACTCCGCAAGAAAGACTGGACATCCTGACGTAATTCATTGATTGACTGAATTAAGACGTAGATAGCCAACTTGCACGGTGTCATACGTTCGCACACGACGTTATTGGGCATATCGCCGAACAAATCGTTGAGATTAACACGGTTGTTAAAAGGGATTACAATATGATCTTGGCGCTAATTCTAGTCCGCATGTGTGGTTGTTATCTTTCGCGTTGAAATCTATGCATTTCAAACTGTTCTGAGGCCAGCTGAAAACAAGGGACTCATGTAACACAGTGAGTAGAGGTTCTCTGAAATACACACGCGGCTGTTGGTTCGATTCCGCTCCCCAAGTTCTCCAAGTCATCCATCGCTCCGAGATCAGTAAATTGGTAGCAAGCTTAGCTGCGAATATAGCAGCATTGGCTCGATTCATCGGTAGGCCACCGCAGCTCACTTGTATATACAGGCGAGGTATGTATTCATTCACCTCTAATGATGTTTGATGATATCGAATGGATGGCACTTGCTTCAGGGATTGATCAACATCGAGAGCGATGTATTTTTTAATTTAAATAGTCGTTTGAGCTTATGGTGGTTCACATATTTTTACTCTTATCAATAATTTAAAATGATATCATGTTTCTTGTCAATGTCTGAACTTTGTAATTCGGTGCTGTCATATGTTGAACCTCCCAAATAGGTCCATTTTTTAGTGATCAGGTTTACTGTTGTCAGTTAGAGTGCGCATTTCAGGCAATTTTCCGGGAAACGAAAAGGCCGTCAAGGGAGATGCAGTTGACGATCAGTCAGCAGCTGGGGCTTGATCCCACAACGGTTGCCAACTTCTTCATGAATGCCAGACGAAGGGGTCATGACCAGAAAACCGACGACGACATGAGCACCGTCAGCGGCGGCAGCAATCATGCCTTAGACGAGCAGGTAACGACGTAGGGTCGTTGGACCCGAATTTCCATGGAATAGAAGAGCGCCTTGTAAACACAATGACGACATGTAGGGAGAAAGGCCTTTAAAAACGTGTCAGAGATAGTTCTCAGGACTAACTTTCTGTTAAGCTTGGCATTGTTTAATAAGTCCGTGTTCTGTTCTTGAGCACAAAATTGTTAATAACAAAATCTGTGTAATTCTGGCCGAAGTTTCGGCGGTTTAGCCTTCTTCAGTGCCTAGAAAGGTCATACTGAGAAGTGGAGGTTATGAAAATATCTGGGTGAGTGTCAATTTGACCTTTCCAGCCTCTGAAGAAAGCGAAACAATGAAAAGTCAGTCAGTTTTGAATAGAACTTGCTAGTAACAACCTTGTATCTTCTGAAGAAGAAAACAATGATTAGAGCTTACATTATACATATTTTGGTCATTCTATGCTATATTTTAATTGGTTGTGCACGAAAACAAACTCTCTAACCATCACGATCTTCAAAGCAATTTAGCTCAGCTCGGAACAGATTTTCTTAGTACAATGTGCAATGTTTGAATCTGCGCATTTCTGACAAGAAAAGACCTCTACCTATCCCGGTGTGTAGTGTTCTGCAATTCAAAAATTGGCGAATTCTTCAAGAGAGTCATGAAAATGGCTGTAGATTCGTCGAAAACCTCCAGCATATTGTTCTGAGGTGTAGCCTTTGTAAAACACCGTTCCGCATCCTGTTTCTACGGACTCATTTTTGAGACGTCGGTCGGATTTTGTCGTGGCTAAGAACTAAACTTTTTCCAATGAACAGTGCTTAAAGTCACAGTTCTCGGTATGTTTCGTCGATTTTCCTGCAACATTTCGTCATAGTCTTGCTGATTAACCATTCTTCTTATTCATGACTATGAGTTTGAGTCATGAGTTTCACCATAGAAGAATATTTTGGACCCAAACCTAGTGAATATGTGGTCGGTGTTTATGTCTCAAATAGAATTTACTTATCGTTTAACACACTACAGATTGTAAATAACCCGTTAAATGGGCGGCATTTAGTTTATCTGCTACGTTGTTCTGTGTGAAGGATGTTGAGCCGTAGAGGTCCGTAGATATTGGTGGTTAGAATTCCTTGGTTCGCTGACAGCGCGAGCAGTTTGCACTTCGTTAATTGTTCTTATTTGCTCTTTCTTCAATCTAAATCTAAACCTTAAAGATCTAAAACCTAAGTCTTCAACTTGATGTTCTAAAATAGGGAAAATTAACGTTTTATAGTGTTGTAAAACAGATACGTGATAAAGCCAGTTTACGTTGATCAGTTCCTGAGGGATGCGACATACATTCGACTTCGTGGTAAAATGCATATTTTTCCTATACCATGATGTGCATTGGCTTTGTAGTGCATCATATCATCGGTTTTATCCTAACGACCAAATCGTGTACCATCGCTCCGAACAAGGTATAGAAGGCTTGGCGAGTCAGGTACCCGGGGTCGGACCAGTTTACATTTGCGTATTTCTGTGCGGCACGAATCATTGCGCCACACATGGTTGTTACCAGCAATCGACGAACGAAATCTCTTCTATTTCGCACAACCCATTTTCACATCTATTCTGAAGATCCAAACATCTTGCATACGAATCATTTCCTCGCTTGCGTCCTCCACGAAGGTCTTCAAACCTCTCATGTGCGGCTCCTGCTTGACAATTGTCTTCCTTACCAATGTCGTTGAATGCTGGATGAGTCATTTCTTTCTAGAGTATTGAGAGAGCTGGGCTATAAAGTTTTCATTTGAATTGGAGTGAGTGAACTTTTCGCAGAAAAGCTGACCCCGGAGAAATGAGAAGCTTGGTGACACATGGATTGGTTGAACCAGCACCATACTGTTACGACTCACTACCACTGCTCTACCCACATCCTAGGTTTGAACGTAAATAAAACTATATTAGTGTACAAATTTTAGTTTGAACAATGAATACGGGTTTACCACGAAAAGATGGTTATGCACAATAATATATGAATTATTTTACTTGAAGATGTTTTGTGATTGGATCTCGTGAATATTACTTGATACTTGATACTTGAACAGGCCGTCCTCACTAGTTGTGCGAGTACCAGCATAATCACCATTTTCCGGAGATTTTCTGGTTAAGCTATTGTGGTTCCCTGGAATCCCGAGGACATCCTGGCCAAACTAGTAAAGTAAGGGCCACCACAAATAGTCGCCGCCCTTGTGGATCAGAGAGCGATTTGCCACCATGCGATTAGTTTAATACCAGGACGGTGTGGATCCTGGCATTGGTTTACTCTTAGCTAGGCTTCCTGATGGAATCGTCGGACTTCTTCTCAGCTTGGGAGGTCTTGCGAGAAGAGGAGGACAAATCTACCCGCTGTACATCGCAGTCCGACACCCAAGAACACGTCCCAGCCACGAGGAGGCGGTAAACCGTTGGGAGTGGAGGTCTCTTGAATAATATAAATGAAAAAATAGCAGCTTAATGATAGAATCTGTTATATAATAATTAACTGGAAAACTTAATTAGGAACCACTCGAATAAATCTACAACAAACAAACGAACTTCTTTCCAGGTGTTGTCACCTTTGCCACCAACACCGATTTTCGAGCAGCTCTGACGGAGACGAGCCTGTTTGTGATTTACCCTTAATTCATTTCTCTTAATCTTTGCCTTAATGATTTCGATTTATGTCTGTGTGAGTGCAGAGTGCAATAACGTCCAACATGAGCAGAGCAATCTGATAGCTCAGATCTGGTTCATGTCATAAGACGTTACAGAACTCAGTAAGCCGGAATTCCTGTGCCATATGAGGTGATAGTCAGAGCTTGAGCTCAATTATCGCATGACCTATTTTTTGTATTTACCATAGTTTCCTATATGATTTCGTCTGTCTTCATTTAAGTATGTTATTCGCTTCCTTTCTCACATTCGTATATGATCTCTTTCTTTTTTTTCTTCGTCAATGCCGCCGAATCTCACAACTTCGCTCTCCTGTGTGGATTGTGCTTCGGCGGAATCCAGGCATTCTGCTCTCAGAATTATCACTTACCTATGTACTTGTCAAAGTCGCTAGGCTTTATGCTGGCTTCTCGTTCTATAGACACCTACAAACGAAAAAATCCCTATACTATCAACGACAACCTGTAAAGGAAAGTGGCGGTCGTGGAACGTACCGTCCACATGAGAACGTCCACGCTTTTTGGCTAAGGTATCGTCAATAATTTCTTCTGTATTTCTTTTGTCAAACTCACACTGATATTCACGGGAACTAGTTTTGCTTGTGGGCGTCTATAAAATACTGTATTGTTTAGCTAAGTAGCCCGGGATCCACAGTGGACTGGTGCCAAATCTTGGCCCTTGGGCCACCAGCCGTGGAGGTATTCCATGACATTTGTTCCTAGTCCGTTTCCGAAGTCTAGTCAAATCTCCGTTAGATCTCATCCAAAGACAATCACGTAATCTCATTCAAAGCCTAGTTTTCACTTTTATCGAATCTTCATTCAATAGTTTCATTTTATGTTAGCTGTTCCTACGATACGTATGATATATTTATGTAGATTTGAACTAATCATATTATAAACTTGCACTCTAATATTGCTTCAGACATATCATACACACTACCTTGGTAGCAACGCTTAAACACTCGGCCCAAAAGAGACCAAAGGATCGGGCCAATCGGTGAAAATTTCAGTTTGGTGGTAAAACTTCACTAAAAATAACACAATCGATCATTAAATACTTTCAAGACTATGGTCTTTTGATCGATTCATACGATGTGACATAAGTTTTCCGATTATTATTTGTCACTGTCACTTGTTCTTTGAGTCCCGACAAACATGTAGGAGATGGAAGCTTGTGGTTTGCTAGACACGACCGTGCCATTATAAGGTTCTGTTCTAATTCTCTACCACTTTCGTGACGGCGTGACCTCTATAGGAGTCATTTCTCAGAGGCACAGAGGCTGACACGACCTCTTTGAAGTCATTTCGTTTTCGGTAGTTTGTTTGGATGTACGGAACTATTTTCCTCCATTTATTGCAATCATTCGATAGGTTGTCCCACTCAAGTGTTGTAGCAGGCGTTGTTCAGGGAAAGCTCTATTTGGCATTTCGGAATATACAGAAAATTGTTTCTGGAACGAGTTCATTAACTGGTAATTTGGCTGGCACTTGACTGTTATTTCATTTCCAATCGTTACGATGAATAGTAACTACAGCACAAGTTGCAAAGCAGTCCCAAATGCCGTGTTTATATGACGGGTCATAGCGACGTATAGTAAGTAGTGGCATATGTAATACTTAACGGCGCGTATAGCGCAGTGGTCGGAGGCGTCCTGCAATACACACGGGATCGATCTCCCCGCCCATGGCCGACCAAGCCTTCCATCCCTTCGGAGTCGGTAAATTGGTACCAGACTTATCTGCGAATATGGCAGCACTGGTATCGGTAGGTCATCATAAAGGCCAGATTTGCATTCAGTCACCTCTAACGATGCTTAACAAAGTGTAATGTATGGCACAACCCTCAGGGATTGATCAACGCCGAGAGTTTTATTCTTTCTTATTATTGTATACCACTTACACCTATATAGCGATGGAGCAACGCCCTCTACAATTCTGTGATGTTCTCAACCTGTTCGGTTTTCTTGATATCGAAATGTCATCGCCTAATAGCGAAAAACAAGTAGGTTCGTAAAGACGTGAAATGGGACGACGGCCGTTGTGGCAGTCATGCAAAATGAAGCAGTGTTACAAAACCGTTTGAAATCGTTGCCTCCATATGTTCATCATCAACTACTAATTGTTATCCATTTCCTTCTTCGTCATCTAGGCCGACATCTACGGTACGAAATTCCATACCATCTGGCACGCTGCTCCCTTTAAAAATGTCCTCGGTTTCGCTAACATTTCGAGGCGATCCCAGTATAGAACGTTCGAGTGTTGAGTTAAAGCAGAACGATACTTCTTCACTGTGAAAGCATCATTTCAATCAGCTTGAAATCACTGTAATCTAACTATTAGAGATAGTGCACGACACATAATTAAGCGATAAATAATCTTGTGGTATAAAACTACAATGTAGCGAAGAAAGGATAATGATCTTGGCGTTTATCAATCCCTAACGGATGCGCCACGCAATGGACTTCACTAGGCATCGTTAGAGCTGAGTGAATGCATGTCTGGGCTAAATAGTTGGTCTATCGATGTGTCGAGTCAGTGTTGGCACGCTCTCAGACAGGTCTCGTACTAATTTGCTGACCATGGAGCGATAGAAAGCTTGGTGAGCCTAGGGCGTCTCTAACCACTGCGCTATACGGACCCCCAATAGAGTTACGTTGTTAAAAATCACAACTGCCATTGTTTCCTCACCAGTCTAATAAATTTTAGCAGGAAAGAATATATCTACATACGTACTGTATACCATGTTCCCGGATGGCGGGTAGCAAAGTGGTAGTGATGTCGTGCAAAGCAGCACGGTGTAGTTCTAATCACGTACCTGGTTCACCAAACCGCTCATCTCCCCATGCTGATCTAGGCCCTGACGCATTCCCTCAATTCCACGTAGTGCTCTACCACAGGTATTCCATAACTTGAGGAAGAATCGACTCCACCAGCATTATACGGCAGTCAAGAAGAAGACAACGACCCTCAAACAGCAGCGGAACGTACACAAGAATAGCGCGTTCGTTCCCCACCACAGACACCTGCGGTTAGGAGTTTTGCAAATATCTCAGCACCATTGGAGTTCAATTTATTTCTAAATTTCATGTGAAGAGGGACAACTGCGTGCACTGCAGGCGCATTCTAAAAAAGGAAATCGCGTCACTCAATCGCTCCACCGCTTGGAATGTAAGCCTCAAGTGAAAAGGAAACCGCTTATGGGAACTAGTAGATAAGAATCCGTTATGTTGAATAGGTAAACTTCTACCCTACTAAGGAAAAACATAACCCTTCACTTATGCAATAAATATAGACAGCTGATAGATGGCGAGTATATCTGAGTAACGTCATGTGCTACAAAAGATCGCTTAAACATCGAAATTGAGATGCTATTATAGAATATTTGACGAGATGAATAACTCGGTTAACAGAGAAGAACTTGTACGTAATTTATTAAAAGTACCAAATTATATACAAAACCACAGAACCCGCAAGAACCATCTTTCTATTGCAATAGGAGAAGCTACAATTAAACAAGCTCTTCCAGTGTTATTGCTTCCCAAACAAATATCATTAACAGGTGTTTAGAAAGACTGAAATCAAAAGGACGACTGGTCATTGATTAGGACCCCACCGGGTAAACTCCAATAAGAGACGAATGTGTGGGCGGCATGAATTCCCTCACATGTTCTTCTTCATACTCCTCGTTCGGTATTAAGTAGTTGACGAGAACTGAGAGGATTTGAGAGTTGAGCAGTTGGAAACGGCGTATGCGATCCACGACATCAAGTAAACGCTGAACGATGAGAATAAGAATCTATTTTATAACGAAAAATAAGTGGTGGTAAATAACTTACAACTCCATTAACAACCTCGTCTTTACCATCAAATTTTTGGATTCGATGAAGATGGTAACAAAAATCGAGCACTTCAAATCGCCGTTGTTGGCCCAACAAATAAATGATGGACATGCCTGCCCACTGTAAAGAGTCACCGAACAATTCCCTGAAATATTAGTGGGCCAACTAAATGAGACGCCAACGTAACATGATGTTCAGAATTCTGTTTGTCCAATCAATTCCTGTTGGAAATACATACAGAAAATTACGAGATGGAAAGAATCGAAAAATACTACTTCTAAATTCCAGAAAATCAGAATTTCATCTTGATAGATGGGAAAACTATGATCTTCGATTTTCAACAATTTTTCAAACCAACCGTCATTTAATCTCGGCTTTAAGAATCAATACCATTCAGGTTTATTAAATTAGTACGAAATTGATAAACAGTTCTATTCCGCTAACATTTCGATGTCCTCCTCTTCCGCAGAGCCTGATACGAGTCGATTGTTCACATGTTCACAGCCCTTCGCGCTCTCGACATGGTGTCTTCGTCATAGGATCGAGTCGAGTTTCTTTCAGTGGAGCACCGCTTAAAGGAGGCAATCTCACCTAGCAGGGCTCTTTTATACGAGAAGGTTGTTTTTTTGATAATGACTGCCTGTTAATAATAATATGTTGGCGGTGCTCCACTGAAAAAGATTGGAGTCGATACGATATCGACGCATCATATCAAAAAGACGAACGACTGCGGACCATCGACTTGAACCATCCGCTGAGGAAGACGAAGACGTCGAAAGGTTGGCCGAATAAAACTTAGCAACTTCGGTTTTCATATCAGCTAATAAAGTTCATCATAAAACAGAGAGACGTTTGTTTGAAGTTGAAAATCTAAGAAATTTGTTCTATGAACTTAGTTCAATTTTTAAATCTGTTTTTGACTATTTTAAGAAGCGGATTGCGCACTGGAAGTGATGCCGTCCATCACAAGCACGATATTAGTTCGACCCTACCCGGGCTCTCCAACCTCTCATCTCTCTGGGATCGAGAAATTGATATTAGACTTGTCTAAGCCTAATTCGCTCCTTCAAATCCACGCTGAAACATTTTAGTACGGGTGCTCCAAGACAGAAAGGAGATCGGTATTCAACGATATTAACAGAGAAAACAACAGTCTTCAACCAGCAACCGAACCCACAAGCGAAAAGTTCCGCTACCTTTATGAGGAAGGATGCGAGGAAACGAAGAGAACGCAGGAAGTGTTGGAGCCCACACAGTAAATGTGACGATGGTTAGTGCAAAAGTAAAAAAAGTTTGATAATTCAGGAATCATCCTCTGATATAATAGTCGTGGGAAATTCAACTTACCATTACCTTAATGATGAGCTTATTCTAAGCTTTTTGTGAACATTAAGCTAATTATCAGCATCTTCACCTAAATAAGGTTAAGTAGAGCAAGAAAGCTTCGTGTTATTCAAATAAATAGACGTACAAACAACGGAACAGTGGCTAAACGCGGCTGTGATAAATCATTAATAAAAACTTCTGCTACGAAACAATTTTTGGGCCTTTTTTCATTTCCTTGTTTGGAGCTTACGTGACGTAGGAAACCTGGCACACCGATGGTTGTTGGATACCTTATTTGGAGCAGACGGAACTCCATTATAATTAACGAGGATTTTCGTCATTGGGTGCTTTTCTGACCTTACCAGTAAACCCTACTAGGTACAAAGTTCCAGCAGTAGTGTTTCACTATATCTCGTCTTTCAGCTGCACTTTTAAGTCACTACTTTTTGTTGGTTCCTCAACAAGATCTCTGATAACAAATTCAACACAACCCTCAAAATCTTAATTTTAATGCGAGAATGACTCACTCTACAAACTTTTCAGCTTCATTGGTTAACGGTTGACAAATGAAAAATTGAAGGGCGGACCAAACGCGATGGAACTCCACGCACTCATCAACCCACATTACGCCGTTTGCCGGATATCCACCGGTCCAAATCTCAAATAGCAAGGACGGTTCACATAAACAGATTTTAAATAGCATAGATAAAACAATATGAAAGAGAAAGGAGATGGTATGCTTAATATATTCGCTACGATATGAGTCTTCTGAGTCTTACTTTTCAGTTCTTTCTTCCAGAGTACAAGATTCTTCTACTATATATTCTGTACTGTACCGGCAAGGCAAAAAAAATCCTAGGTAAGAAAAATCCTGCCCGTAGAGTAAAAACTAAGCGTAATCCCAGACTGCAATTTTCGAGGTATTAGACACGATTGAGAATGTCTCAAGAAACCCGGATGGTGCAGAAAATAAAGCAAATGACGGAGAAGAAAAAGACTTCTAGACGATCAAAAAGACATTGGACATCCTCCCAACGGCTTACCGCCTCATCATGGCTGGGAGGTGTTCCTGGGTATCGGACTGCGATGTACAGCGGGGCATCCATACCAGGACCTCCCAAACTGAGAATCAGTCTGGTGTTTCCATCAGGAAACCTAGCTAAGAGTAAACCAATGCCAGGATCAACCACCGTCCTAGTATAAAAGTCACATGGTGGCAAATCTCCCTCTGATCTACAAGGGCTGCGAGTGCCTGTGGTGGTGAAAGGCAGACTTGGAGCAGACTTTGTTTGATCTGGCTGACCTCGGGATTCCAGGTAACCACAATGGCTCAACCAGCATATCTCCGAAAAATGGAGATTATGCTGGGACCCGCACAACCAGTGAGGATGGGCCATTCAAGTATATTCAACTATCAAGTAAGTAAGTAGCGTTGGACATATTGCAAGACACAAAACTATAATAGAAATAACATATCGAATAAGACAACTTTCCCTAACGTTAAGATAGGAGGAATATGCGACGTGTGAAAATATTATGAGCAATCATAACTTCTTTTTTATGAAAAGGAAACTTTTGTTTTTTCATCAAACATTTTTAAAAGACTTACAGGATCATCTCCTAGAATTTGGCGGATTTTCCTTAGAAACATGTCGAAAATGTTAAGTCCGCAACACAAACGCTCCTTCGTCAAAAGTTCTGCTTCTTTTGAAATGGCGATTTGCTAGGTAAAAAGTGGTACATTACTTAATAATTTATATTATAAATTCTTACTGTTACTGGTATCGTCAGATAATCAAGTAGGTACACAAACTCCAACACTACTCACAACAAAAAATGCCTCAAGAAGAGACTGAAACTTTACCTTTTCATCACCAAATTTTTCGACGACGCTTGTCAGTTGGATTCGGGAATACTTCTCTTCAAGTTTGGCGAGCTGCTTTTCCTGTTCTACGACGTCTGCAATACGTCGCAATGTTATGTATTTAAAATGTAAAATGTTATTTACTTATATCCATTGAGTCTAATGAGATAAAGGATAAGAAAGGATAAAGCTCTCGGCGTTAATCCTTGTGGGATGCACCATGCATTCGACTTCATGAAGCACCGTTTGGAGATGATTGAATGCATATCTGGCCTTTACAACGACTAGCAATGGCCTATTGATGTATCGAGCCAGTGCTGCTATTCTCCCAAACAGGTCTGGTACCACTTCCCCGACTTCGGACGGATGGAAGGCTTGGTGAGCTTTGGACGCGGGAATCGATCCCAAGTGTGTCGCAGGGCGCCTCCATCCACTGCGTCTCTAACGGGATAAAAAAGGAAATCTAAAGAGAACAGAAAGTTGGCTGTTGACCAACACATATGCTTGTACTCAAAAACACAGTAAAAAGATTGTTTCGAATGAATTAAAACATACTCCTGGCAGGTGGCTTTGGAATAACATTCGTAAATGCAGCAGCAGCTAAAAGATCTTGGACCTCTTCTTGGGCCATTCCTAACTCTAGCTGCTGACAGAACAGAATGATATTTCCGAGTTCTCGGAGATCCTTAAGAAAAAATCCCAATTCAACTCTGAAGCACTTAAATTAATGATACCACTGAACATTACAAAGCACGACAGCCCAAGTTAGAGAGGGAGGCTACCTGACAGAATTCTCCTTTCAACTCATTATATTTTCCAACTCCATCAAGATGATGAAAGTAGTATTGAAGAACACCTGAAGTGGAAATCATTCATCAAGACCTTTACTACTGCAATATATGTGGAACTCACCTGGGCTTCCATAGTCGCTTCTTGGAAGTTTGCACAATTTTGGCAACACAGAATAGATAGACCTAAGATGACGTTTCAGTTTATCAGAAATCAAGACACGTGCGAGCTTTAGAAGTTCTTCAAGAATAACCGCAACACCTAAGAGATTCAAGCATTTTTACGATGTGTTACAATCAACCACTGTGTACGTTTACCTTGATACTGCAACAAACGGGCGATCGTCTTGAGGTGTGGAATTCCTATGAAACGAGCATATGAGAAGAAAATGTTAGCAAATGCAGCATTTAAAGACTTCGATCCCCAAAGGTAAACGAGTGAAACTTGAGGCTTTCTTTCACGAGCGGGAGTCTTTCGGAACACCTCCTGTTTAGCGATATTTAAATTTTCGAAAACAAAACATCTTCAAATAACAAAAAAAAAGGATAAATTCCTCAGCGTTGATCAATCCCTGAAGGATGTAGGATGGACTTCATTAAACATCGTTAGAGGTGACTGAATGCATATCTGGCCTTCACAATGACTCACAGTGGCCGACCGATGTATCGAGCCAGTGCCACCATCCTCCCAGACAAGTTTGGTACCAATTTGCCAACCTCGCAATGATGGAAGGCTTGATGAATCCTGGGCGTGCGATAGATCTTATGTGTATTGCAGGGCGCCACCAACCACTGGCCTACACGCACCCCTTAAAGTGATATATCGAAGCAAACGTACTTTTGCACGAACGAAACGATGTGTTGATCCGTTGTAGATAAAATTAGGGACAAAGTCATAGTTTAGTTCCCAGAACACGTGCAATGTGATGCGGCCGTGTGGTGCAGAGACATTATGATTTGCCTGAAATAGTCTTTGCAAAAAAGCATATTAACGAAAAACATAACAAAACTGATATATGCGAAAATATGCAGTGTATTTAAGATCACCTCCAGAAAAAGGTCGTTAAAATCTGGAACAGAAAACAGCCGGTCACGTAGCAGAGTGTGACATAAGCGATTAGTTTCAATCAAGAAATCAAGTTCCTGAAAATCTCAACTTCAAAGAATTCCACTCAGGCTAAACAAAAACGTTTGAAAAGAAAGTTTCGACACAGACCACTATACTTGAGAGCTCAGTACTTTCAAACATCCAAATAGCAGTATCAAGAGACTTCAGAAGAGCGATGCTGATACGTTGAGAAACAAGGCGATTTAGATCGATTGAGCGACCGAGCAACTATAATAGGTGAACCATGAAATGATGAAACGAAGTTAAAATTCGCAATCACTCGTATTTCTCGCAAAACTCAACCACCTCATCGTGGCTCGGAGGTGTTCCTGGGTGTAGGTCTGCGATGTACAGTGGGGTGATTCATCTCTCCGGCAGGATCTCCCAAGCTGGGAAGGGGTTCCGCATTTTCATCAGGAAGTCCAGCTAGGAGTAAACCAATACCAGGGTCCACCACCGCACTGGTATCAAACCAATCGCATAGTGGTAAATCTCGTTCTGGTCCATAACAGCGGCGGTTATATGTGGTGGCGACGAGCTAGAGAAGAATTGGCTAGGCTGACTTCGGGACTTGAGGGAACCACAATGGCTAAACTAGCAAAGCTCCAAAAAATGGAAGTTATTCTAGGGGCCGCACAATCATTGAGGATGGGCTATTGAGTATGCAGGTCATTAAACACTTGTATTACCTGAACATGTCTCTGTCGAAGTATGCCGTCAAAGCGACCAGCTGGAGGAGTTCGTATTGTAACTCCAGCTCTCTGACATTCCAATTTAAAACGTTTGTCCAGCATCATGCTAAGATGAGTTAAGTGTTTTGGAGAAACCAACGAACGAACTCAGAGCAAAAAAGTTTCAATTAACAAACCAGGACGCAAGTTGCTTGAAGTGAGTGAACACCATGTCGGAGAGTTTGTAAACAAATTGGTCAAAACATAAATTTACTTCCGCCTCCACCTGAAAATGTTGCTGAATTTCAAAAACTTGTAGTTTAATTATGGTGCAGTTAGCAACGAAGTAAATCAAAAAACCTCATCGAAAAGAAAGCGCTTCCTAAAATTGAAGAGACTGTAATTAGCGGCGTCATTGTACAAGTCAAGCTGATACAAAGCACCTTCAACCAATGATGAGTCGGCATTTGTTAGAATATGGTCCGTCAGAATCCATGGAATAGACATCTCAATTGGGAACTGAAATTGTTACATGTACGACAGTCTTACGCCTGAAAGATATTTTTATCAAGACTTTGGAAATTCTTTCCAACAATTTACCGCTTCTTCGTGGTTGAGAGGTGTTTCTGCGTGTCGGGCTGCGATGTACAGAAGGGACATTCATCCCATAGCAGGGTCTTCCAAGCTGAGTCCAGCATTTCTACCAGGAAGTCCAGGTAGGAGTAAACCAATATCAGGATCCACCTCCGCCACGATATCAAACTAGTTGCACAGTAGCAAAATTCCCTCTGATCCACAAGGGCGGCGACCGCACGTGGTGGTGACGACCTAGGGCAGATTTTGGCCTGGCTGACCTCAGGGCTGTAGGAAACCACAATGGCTAAAACTAGCAAAACTCCGAAAAATGGAGATAATGCTGGGGCCCGCACAACTACTGAGGAGGGGCCATCCAAGTATCCAAGTAAATTTCCTTGGGAATTACAAGAATTGCTAGATATTCTACAACGTACTTGAATCCGCTGTCCCATAGTCATCTCGAGATAGAACTCTCGGAACCAAAGTTGACTTAACTCTGCTGCTTCAGATAAGGAATCAGAAAGACGAAAAAGAGCTGGCCAGTGTGTTGATTTCCTAAACCATTTGTGTCAATAAGTTCAAAAAAATCACAGCGTTATTCTTAAAGAAGCAGTTTTTTACAAGTCTAGAACATCTGAACTGCGTAGTCTAAAAGTTGCCATCTTAAAAACTTGTCTAAGATAGTAAGTTGTATTCGAAAACCATCGCAACTGTAGGAAATAACATACTCAGGTTACCTCAGAAAAATAGAAATTCGCTCTATTGTTTTCGCATCCAATTCCTTTCTTAGGACTCGTTTTCCACCGCTAACTCGCTCGGATATCAATGACTCCAACTGGGTCCTAGCCATGTAGAGCTTTAAAACATGCCAATATTCTTCACATATGATCATATTTTTGAAATTATTCCAGCAAACTTAGACCTCGTGTGCATCAGAATTTAAAATAAAACATCTCAAACAACGACTCCAGAAGTATGGACATGTGGTCTTATAAAAAAGTAAAGAGAAAGGGATCAACGGAAAAAACCTGAGTGCTACTCGGTGCTGGTGGCGACGCTCTTCGAGCTATTCGAAGATCACTGCTAGAACTGGCAGTGGATTCCTTTCCTTGGCGCTTTTTCAACTTTTCCATTGACGGACGAGATTCAGAACCAGAGGAATATGCATCTACACACGTATCGCGCACTGATTGAAGGATGCTAAGTAGACTTTCATTAGTAAATGGTCTTTCAGAAGGTGAAGAAATGGAAATGCCTACCAACATCGAACATTGAGGAATCTGACTACTATGCTGTTTACTAACCTCACCAGCAGATCCTTTTTGCCTTTGACGGCTTTTTGTAATGAATCGTTGAAAGCATGTTGAACAAATCCTTGCAATTCGCTGTAGATGTGACGTCTGAATGACGAAAAAACTAGGCATACAGAACTTTGTGAATCAGAAAACTGAACAGTAACCGCTAAGAAAAGACCTTATAGCGTGTGAGAGCGAAGATTCAATCCGTCCTAAGAGCGACTGCAATCCTTTGATCATACAGATGGTTTGTATAAGGGCTGTCTTCTCACCTGCCGAGTAATTGTACCTACACTACAATTCGTTGAGTTTCACTGATTTTCAACAAGATTTTTTAAATTCTAAAAAGCACATCGATTTACCTCGTAGCCCGTTCGTATTCTTCCGCTGTTTCAGGACATTCTTTGTTATCCCTACTGTTTGTGGGGTGAAGTAATTTCCAACTAACAGTCTCCACCACATCTGCCGTCCACTGACACAACAACTGCACTCCACTCAAAGCCAGTGAAGTAAGTTCACGGTTCTCTGCGTCTGAGTTGAATGAAACGCGGTCACTAATGGCGACCTAAACCAAAATGTGAGGGATATATATATACATATACATATACATATACATATATATATATATGAATATGTATACGTATATGTAGTGGTCGCGTGTAGCGCAATGATCTGAAGCTCCCTGCAATACACAAGGGATCAATTCCTGCGTCCAAGGCTCACCAACCCTTCCATCCTCCGGGATCGGCTAATTGGTACCAGACTTGTCTAGGAGGTTAGCAGCACTAGTTCGATACATCGGTAGGCAGCTACGAGTCATTGTAAAGGCCAGATATGCATTCAATCACCTCCAACGATGTTTAACGAATTCGAATACATGCTACATCCTTCAGGAATTGACCAGTTCCGAAAGCTTTATCCTTTATCCTGCATGTATATTTACATAACGGCATAGAAAAAATTCTATAAGAGCCATGGATTTTCTTAAGATTATAAAACGACAAAGGATACAGCGTTCGGTGTTAACTAATATCTTAAAGACGCATTGTGATCGCATATGGCACCAGTTTTCCGATTACGAAATGGTGAAGGACTTAATTTGTCAAGGATGCATGATCGAATCAGTGATCTGTTTAGAGAAACTCTAATTTACAGTTCCTTGTTCATCTCTCTGCACCGTAAATGCACTAAATTTAGAAAAGGGTAGGAAATGGCTTGAAACTTTTCACAAAATAGAAACTCTAATTGAACGCTAGCAAAGCAATAGCCTCCACGAATGATGCAACAAATGAATACCTTCATCATCCTAGAGTTTGTCCGGTACCAATATGCACCAACCCTGGACAGAGAAAAAGATTTGCGCGACAGAACAAACCACTATGTGAGTTATATTACACTTTCAGATACCACTCTGTTATACGCACCCTCTGAAAGAAAATACATATAATAAACACTTAACTACGCTTAACGCTAGGTATAAAGGTGGATTTCACTGCAATCCTAAAAACATTCCTGATCATGAAAAATTGTTCAAACTCAGTGGCTTAATATGTCGAAACAGCCTCAATCCCAGCTTTAAGAATTTCGGTTCTCTATGTCACATATTTATTCGAATTTAGTGTACGATGTCGTTCTTAAACATTGATGAATTACTGGAATCACCACAGGACTAGCCGTCGTATTCTCCGACCGCAAATATCAGTAGTTAGAAGTAAGAACGCTCCAGCAACGCTATACACGAATTTCAGAGAAAATCATGTTCAATCAGGCATCAAAAAGAAAGGTAGGAAAGCGACTTCAAATCTCGATCTCATGTAAGAGTCGGATCCACGTAAGAATCAAACCACTTCCATGCATGATAGTTGCAACATAATGAAGTACATAGAATAGAGAGGTGTATAAGCTGCACAACCATGGTAGGCGGGCCATCTAAGTATCCACATAAGATCATCTTTTCATGATGCATAACGATAAATGCACAAACTTACACTGTTATTTAGTTTGGCCAGTTGAGTTACGTACGATTCATGATCAGCTCTTATTCTTTTCACCTTGTCGACGATATTTACATGACACTTTTCACCTGCAAAAGATATACATTAAGCTGATAAATTGGAATAAATCAGAAAGGAATGGGGAGTAATTTGCCATAAACCACTTGGAAGAACTAAGGCACTAAAATAAATTAGTGCGCAAAAATTCTCTTCCATTACCAATCCTATAATTCCAAGACATTGAAGAACGCTTCCTTTGTTGCCTTAAGTGATCGAGATTTATCTATTGGTTTAAATTGAGGAAAACAGTTCTCCATAGCGCTTTTGACGACGGTCATAGATAGATGAACAAGGAACTGCAAAGCGTACCTTCTTTATCGCTTAAAATCCATTTACTTGGGTCATAAAATTGAGATCTCCTAACGAAAGAAAATGGTTGAATTTGCATATCACCGTAAAGAGGAACTACTTCCAGGGACTGCAAAATTTTGTTTAACCATCAGAAAATAAAAAGGAAATTAAGAAAACAGGACTAAATCGTATTATTTGTAAATATGCGACCGTACCTTGAAGATCTTATCTAGGCGACCAATATTTAGACGCTTTTTCTGGTCCATCTTGGCTACATTTGCAGCATCACCATCCATAAGAAAAAGAGAGAAAGCAATCACCTGGATAAGTAAAGGTTCCGAGTAGTAATATGGAATTATTTACTTGGATGCCTCTTCTTAACTGTTCGTGCGCGCCCCAGTACAATTTCCACTTTTTCGGAGTTTTGCTGGTTTAACGATTGTGGCTTCCTACAGTCCTGTGGTCAGCTTAGCCAAAGTCTGCCCTAGGTCATTACCACCACAGGTAGTTGCCGCCCTTGTGGATCAGAGGGAGATATGCCACCAAGCGACTAGTTTGATACCAGGATCGTGGTGGATGCTATTGGTTTACTCTTGGCTAGGCTTCCTAATGGAAACGCCAGACTTCTCAGATAAGAAGACCCTGCCTGGAGATGAATACCACCGCTGTAGAACGCAGCCCGACACTCAGAAACACCTCCCAGCCACAAGGAGGCGGTAAACCGTTGGGAAGGGTATGGAATTAATTATCCGAATAATAGAAAATAAAAAAATAAACCGCATACTTTAACGAACATGTGGCGCTCTGATGGCGTTAGATATAGCTGGTTTTCGAACATGTGGGCACAAATATTAATAACATCAGCAAGTAGTTCCTCATAAGCTTCAATCTGGAATAAACATAACATCAACGTCCATCCACTATGCGCTCGTAAACAACTCACCTTAACCATCCTCGCTCGAAGGTCATCCTTAATTTTGTTCTGCGTAGCTAAGAACATGCTGAGGTTTTGCATATCATGGATAGTTTGAGTATCTGACATTACTTGAAGAAATTGAGCTGCTCTAAATTCATACCATAAACTAGTACGTAACACCAAGAAACGAAGGTATAACGATATAGTATGTCACCTTCTAAAGGCCGAGAAGTCATTTTTTATAGACGCCTTCATGTTTTTCAGCTCATCCAGTACGGCAAACATATTCAAGAAACGACCAAGCGTCAAAAGATACGCTTCAGAGACAAAATCCTAAACGAAGTTCGAATTTGAAAGGGTAAATAAAATGCACTTTAGGAAAGAAGGAAGAGGAAAACAAACTTTTCGCTTTTCTACATGACAGAGACGCCTCACTTCTTCACAAAAACGTGCAATAGCATCGTTCTGAAATGTGAAACCAAAGTGTTAGCTTTTTTATTCACTGCCTATCGCAATTTTTCATGACAGGATATTATGTGAAGTACAACCAAAACGCTTCTTAGACATTTGCAAAATTCTGGACTGCAGGTGTTTGCGGTGAGGAACGAACGCGAGTCTATCCTTTCCTGGGGCTAACGCGTTTACCACCATACTAGGCGGGTCCTTCGTCTCGCCTTTCCCCTAGCTACTGTGGTTTAAATGAGTAGTTCTTAAAAAATATGAAACAAATTGAAGGAAAGAGGTGAATAACACGGCAGAAAGGTGTAACGAAGGACTCGCATGGCGCGGTGGGAACGAGTTAGCCACGGGAAGGGTAATGGCGTGTTCGATCCCCACCGCAGATACCTGCGGCCCGGAGTTTTGCTAAGCACTACTATGATTAAACGAAATATTCTAAGAATCACATGGATTACAAAAAAGGGCCAGAAGTAGACAAATCGAAAGTGAGTTGAAAAGAACTATAGGTGATTCGAAAGGAAGCAGTCTTCTCACCGTAAACAACATGAACCTTTGCAATTTGTCAACTTCCGGCTTCAGAACCTCGACGACCTTCATGTTGATTTCCACACGATTAGGTTGGTCGTTTGATTTCACCTAAATGATGTACGATCCATAAATCTATGGATATAGCGGAACCTCAGAACCCGACCGTTGGGGCCGCCCGAGAGCAGCATCTCCAAGTGTAAAGGTTAGCCGCATGTTGCAGCCCTTCTGTTAGGAGATCGTTCTAAAACTACTTGAATTTATCATAGACTTCCCTGAAACTACAACAGAGAGAACTGACAAAGAGAGCATGACGTGTGGCTTCCTCGATGTATTTCGAAACACCAGTCACGTAAGCATTTCGGTCCTCAAAGTTAGTGTCAAAATTAGTCCTAAAAACATGAGTGTCATAAAAAGGATAAAGGATAAAGCATTCGGTGTTGATCAATTCCTGAGGGATGCTCCATGCATTCGACTTCACTAAGAACCGTTGGAAGTGACTTGACGCGTATCTGGTCTTTACAATGACTCGCGATGGCCTACCGATGTATCGAGCCAGTGCTGCTATCTTCTCAAACAAGTCTGATACCAATTTGCCCACCTCGGAGGAAAGAAAGGCTTGGTAAACCTTAGAGGATGGGATAGATCCCATGTGTAATGCAAGGAGCATCCGACCACTGCGCAACACGCGCCTATAACATAACATGAACTATCGGAAAGTATGGACGAACCGGCACAACAATGGCAGAACGCGGGCTTCTATGCAGGGCTGGTCATCCGGTAGAATGAGGTCCTCCAGTAACTGAAAATTCAAACCTTGTCATTACCAGTAGAGATAGGCGGATAGGAGAAAGACTTCTTACTCAAGCAACAAACAACAATGAAAAAGAAACCTATAGAAATAACTATGGGACCGGTAACTTCGAATAGTATACTTTTAAGAGCAACAAGAAGGTGAAGGATGGTCTAAAACAGATACCCCTACCCAGTACAAACCGAAGGTCGAAACAAGAGTATAAGAAATATGAAAGATGAAAAATCGGGTCGATTCTCTCTAGAATCTTAGAATAGTCGTGCCAGGGCTTTCCAGCGTTTATTGGAGGGAGTCAGCACAGATCGAGACGGTTAGAAAACTACGTAATTAACTGTTGCAAATAGGTGATAGTAGTTTTTATTAACCATTCGTATGCGTCTTAGAGAACGACACTCATTTGGATACTTGAATGTCACGTCTTCACTGGATCTGCGGGCCCTAGAAAAAGTTTCATTTTTCTGAGTTTTGTTAGTTTACCCGTTGTCAGGCTACAACGGTAGCTCACTGGAGTCCCGACGTCAGCCTGACAAAATTCTGCCACAGGTCGTCACCACCGCAGGCAGTCACCGCCCACGTGGATCAGAGGGAGATTGGCCACCATGCGACTAGTTTGGGACCAGGACGGTGGTGGATCATGGTATTGGTTTACTCCTAGCCGGGGTTCCTGATGGAAATGCCTGATTCCTTTTCAACTTGAGAGAGGTTGCCGTAGGGACGAATACCCCAGCTGTACATCTCAGTCCGACACCCAGGAACAACTCCCAGCCAAAGTGAGGCGGTAAACCATTGAGAGGTTAGAGAATGATATAAAGAATAATTTGTCCTCAGCGTCAAATAGTAAACAAACTACAAACTTTGTACTCCACCTACCTCGACATTGCCTAAGGCGTCCTTCAAGGATACGGGTTCCGTCATAAGGAATGCTGACGATAATCCTAAGCGTACTGATTTATGACGACTACACTTCACTTCTGGTTATCACTGAGGCGCTCCAATCACTATTAGTTGCTCCATTCTTCAGCCAGAGGTGGATTGGGTCAGGGTAATGCATAATTCCATACTGAATCTCTGAAACAGAAGACATGAGAAAGTGACGGTAGTTTCTCTCAGCTCACATTTCATCCATCCTTAGAGGACATTTAGTAGTCTTTTGTTGTTCTTTTGGTGGAATGCCACTTCTCGTCGTTACTGGTTACCCGTCTTGTGGTAAGTCGACGATTGTTCAACGAATCGGCGAATTTATTGCTAGCAGAGGGAAAGAGGCATTCATCGTACGAGATGATGACTACACTCTTTTCAGCAGAAACGATTACAATAATTTGGCTAAAGTGAGTTCTATCAACTCTTTCATGAACATAATCGAGTTTTTTAGTCGTTGCATAGATTTTAGGCCTTTTACCTCTATGGAGAGAGTAGTTTTCATTAGTGGATGTTGTAACAATAGCACTTGGTTCTTAAATGCAAAGAGGGATGTGTCTGATTGTAGGATACCTACTTACTTGGATACTTGAACGGCGCGTCCTCACTGATTGTGCGGGCCCCAGCATAATCCCTTTTTTCGGAGATTTGCTGGTTAAGAAATTGTGGTTAGCTGGAATCTCGAGGTCAGCCTAGCTACAGTCTGCCCCAAGTATTCACCACCACAGGCAGTCGCAGCCGTTGTGGATCAGAGGGAAATTTGCGACCATGCGACTTTGATACCAGGGCGATGGTGGGTCCTGGTATTGGTTTACTCTTAGCTGGTGTTCCTAATAGAAACACCGGAGTCATTCTCAGCTTGGTAGGCCCTGCTGTGGAGATGAGATGGATCATCCTGCTGTGCATCGCAGTCAACACCCAGTAAAACCTCCTAGCCACTATGAGGCGGTAAACTGTCGGATGGAACTGTAGGGTGAACCCTTCTAAATCGATATCTGAGATGTTTAAGTTGATCTCGGGAAGATTGTCTACGCCTAATTGTTATAGTTTGGAACTATGTTTCCTCGTTTTTTTTTTTGGAAACCTTTCTTAGAGTATTCCTGAAGCTTCAAACTTCACAAAAAAGGGAAAGAAGCTAAAAGTACTTCTTTCCGCCGTTCGTACTTGTTTTAAAATTACAGGGTTGCCTCCTGGCAAAGCATTTTGAAGTCTATTTACCCGTATAAGTGAAATGATTTTGAATTAAGCATAGTTAACTTGAGGGCCATTCAAATTCTTTGGTGCTATATTTGGATTGTTTATGACTTATCGGATGTGTAGAACTAGAAAACTAGCTAACCGCTTCACTGTCATCGTTTTAATGGTAATGTTGTTTTAGGAGAAGGAACATCGGTCCTTTTTACGATCTTCCGTGGAGAAAAACCTGAACCAGAAGACTATTGTAATATGTGATGCTCTGAATTATATAAAGGGTCAGTCATCTTCTGCCTTCTTACTTACGTACTTAGATGGCCCGTCTTCACTGGCTGTGTGGACCCTAGCATAAGTTCCATTCGTTTCTCTTTGGCGCAGTCGTCGTCCATGGTGGCTGTCTGCTTCGAACATGGTGACATCCTCGACGCCCATTCCGTTATCCTGAAATCGTTGTATCTGTGAATACAGATGGATGACATTAAGCACGAACACGTCGGCCAACCGTCTGGGTGGTGTTCCACGAGGATGTTGCATCCTCTTGGACTCCACTCCGCTCTTTTTTCGTACATCCGTCTATCACCTGTTCATGTTATAATGTCACCGGCACATCAGTGCGATGTATGTTCTTCTAGATCCCAAAGATGGGGTAGGTTTCGGATATCTGAGCTGCGCATTCTGGCTAGTCGTGGGTGGCGGTTAAATTTCGAAAGACATCGTTCAAACGCTCTGTGGATGGTACGCGGATTTCTTGAAGTGGTTGAATTATAAACTCACTTTTCTGCTGCATAACAAGTGTTTGGTGGACTGTCCACTCGAGAAGGTGAGCGCGCAGTTTTGGGTACTTAGGCTGGTTGGAGGCTTTTTTCAGTGGCCAGAATGTGACCCATGCTGGTCTCCTTCTGTCTAATTCCTCCTTCATGTTGTTTTCCATGTTCACCGAACGTCCAAGGTACACGTAAGAGGTGATCTCTATAGTCAGGGAGCCATCCAGTTCGATTTGTTCGCCTTCGCACCATGGATTTTTTATGAATTATTTCCTCGTCCTCTTTGTGAGCAGTCCAATCCTTTTTCTTACTTCAATGGGTTCATTGAGCATCGTACTTCAGTGTTGCTCCCGAAAAGAGGATGTGAATTTCCCATCAATACATATGCCATTCTCCTCCCAATCGAGTGACTTCATCATCCACTGCAGTGCGGCAGTAATTTTTGGCGATATCATGTCACACTGTCGAACTCCGTTCCCATTGGGTATGGGGGTCCATGAAGAAGTATATTTGGGTTGAAGTTACGATAACATTCTGCTAATGTACACAAAACGGGTCCATTCCTTAATCGACAAGCGCTTATAGGACGGCTTTCGTTTCGACGCTCTCAAACGTTTTGTCGTAGTCAATAAGAGTTACGACAAGAAGCAAATGGTACTTCCGACAGAATTCTGTTACCTATGGTATGGTTTGAACGTAGTCTCTGTCGGAATCCTGCTTGCTCAACTAATTGTGCCTCATCCAAGGTCTTCGATACGAACAGAGGAATAATCTTCGTGAACAGCATGTGGAGTACACTCAACAAGCATATTGGACGGTAATTACGAAGATCCTTTCAGTCACTCTTTTTAGGTAAGATTACTGTACCCTAGGTTTTCTACTGGTCTGGAGTTTTATCATTCTGAAGGTAAGATGTCATATAGATTGCGAGAAGTGTATATAACTTATATAGTTTGTGGACTTGAGCTCCGAAGAAATCGGCGTAGGTGTCATCGTGCCGTAGGGCTGTGCCTCTCTTCATGCTTTCTATCACAGGTCGAATGTCAAAGGATAGAATCCCGAACGTTTTTTTACTCCCGGTGAGTTCGAGACGGGGTTGTGGAGCGGAAAACATAGGTATGGAACTTTCCCGTTACGAGTCTATGTCATGGCAGGATGTATCGATAACAAGGGAATAAGATGGGTGTACGACAAAACGAATGCATGATTTTCGCAGCGGAAAATTTCCTCAACGAATGGGGAAGGTTCTGTCCTCTAATTGGGTATTTCGGTCTTCCAGCTATTCGTCTTTTGTAAGGCGATCACATGGGAACTGATGCGACCAGGGCCTCAGGAGGAGCGTAGAGATCGGCGTGGGAATAGACTGTTTTGGCATTATAGATGCACGGCAAGAAACGCTCTCCATAGTGTGTCGTGGGCATGCTCGCTTTCTCCGTTTCCAATGACGTCCTGTGCAAGCGAAGATTTCTTCACCTCACTAGTTGTCTCACCGCTCGACGTCGTAGACGGCAGTACTTAGTTCGCGGAGTACTGAAGCAGAAGCTGGTTTAGCTATGGTGGTTCCCTAGAGCCCCGAAGTCAGTCTAACTGAAGCCTTTCTCAGGTCATCTCCACTCCAAGCAGTCACCACCCTCGGGGATCAGAGTGAGCTTTGCCACCGTAAGACTATGGCACCAGGACGGTGGTGATTCTTGTTATTGATTTCCTCTTAGCTAGGCTTCCGGATGAAAATGTCGTCGTAGCTGCTTACTGACCATTCTTTATATTAAAAGCTGAAATTTCGAACAGTTAGGACTTTACTTCCGTTTTTATAGGATATATATATTTTTATTTGACCCATCTTCACGTCTACCGTGCGGAACTCAGTACTTCTCACATTCAATTCGTTTCCTTGCATCTATTATCCACGATGATCTTCCAACTTTACGTGTGGCTTCGGTTGCTGCTTGAGGATTTTCGTTTCATCTTGAATGCCTTAGAATGCTGGTCGGGCAATTCTCCCTTGAGTCCTCAGATAGTCAGGCTAGAGCATTCCCAATTGGATTGCAGAGAGTGATTTTTCCTCAGCGAAGCCCGGTACCAATCTCCCGATCCAGGAAGGTTGAGAGGCTTGGTTGGCCCAGAGCGGAATCGAACTATCACCATGTTCGTGAACACGGTCATACATATATTACAGGATATAGGTATGAATTATTTCTTCTTGCCAAGCTCTGTAGAACTACATATGCTGTCGTGCATAGTGGTGCCGATGAAAGTACTTGCAAATGGCTGAATAAGCAAAAGGAAGAACATGTGAGGTAGGTGGATTGCGATTCTGTTTGCGATCTTTCGGTATAATCGCTATATAAATGAAGGTATAAAGAGACAACAATCGACGATTTGATAACGCGATACGAGAAACCGGATTCGCGTAATCGGTGGGACTCTCCACTATTCGAGGTTAAAATTGGAAAAAGTGAAAGGTTAGATTACGTTTCATTTTTTTTCCAATGGGAGCTGAGGAGATGTCATAAACGGAATGGTAGAGGAAGTAAATAACCCATCTGTTCGGAACCTACTTACTTGGATACTTGGAGAGCCCGTCTTCACTGGTTGTGCAGGTCCGAGCATAATTTCCATTGTTTCGGAGTTTTGCTGGTTTAGCCGGGAACCATAATGACTGAAGCGGCAAAACTCCGAAAGAATGGAAATTATGGTCGGGCCCGCACAACCGGTGACAACAGGCCATCCAAGCATCTAAGTAGGTAGGTCTAAGTATCCAAGAAAGTAAGTAGGTTCCGAATGGATGTGCTATTTCCATTCGGAACCTATGTGGCATTAGTAAGAAAATGCACCGGTGCTTTGGACTTATGTCATTTTGTTTTATGCACACATCCTTCTGCAGTAGACAGGTGTGCAAACCAGAGCCCACTTACCTGTCGTTTGTTTATTGAACTTCCTTTGAGATTATTGCCATGTCCATCCTTAAATGCATATCTAAATATCTATATTATTATGAAATTGTCCTCATCTAACAAGTATAAAACGATTGTGAAGTTCCAGGTGTCTTTCCGAAGTTCCTGATGACATGAATGTTGACTTAGAGTATCCATCACCGAAATTCGCCACAATCCCTATGGATGAAATTTTCAAGTGGATTTGCGAGGTGCGAGGCCACTTTGATTATAAGCTTTGTGAAAATAAGTGCATAATTGTAAGCGCATATCGTTTAGGGTGTGGCACTGACGCAAAACCAAAGTACCCAAGTCACCCCTTTAACACCTGTGGACTTTCTTCATGAGCTTGCCTGTGTCACACAAGAAGTGGTTAGCGCAATTATCGAGGGCCAGCGGAATGCTCCGGTTGGGTGTTACATAGTGATTCCAGCATCACAACCAGATAACAATAAGGTACTATAACTTCCATTTCCCATCTGAATATTTCGAAGAGATCAGTTTCTAGGTGCTCGTGAAGAAAACCCGGACACTAGGCGAACTAACGCGACTACGGCGGCAGTTTATTAACATGTCTAGGACAAATCCTATCAATAACAAGTCGAAGATAGCGTCCTTGTTCATTCATTTCCTTAACAACAATTCATAGTCTGCTGTATTGGTTATATAAGTCGGTGACTAGACGAAAAGTACGTCTTTTGGATCTCAGCTTTGTTATGTGATGTGAATTCAATATTCCAGATATCCAAAGCTATTCATAGACAAGAACTGATTATTTTGCCACTTTATTATCGAGTTTTACAAAGGATTATAAATGTACTTAATAGTAGAGTAGTAGTAGAGAAACACAACGAACGAAACGACACATATTCTTGACGTATGGGTATTTTTTTTGAAGTAGTCTTGATAGTTACATAAACGGTCTCATCGCATAAGTGTAATGGGTCTTTTCAGGACATAACGATGTAAACACTGTTTTTAGGGATATCACGTAGGCGCTCATCAATTACGTTCTATAATAAGACATTGTGTATTCCTTTGATAAGCTTACACGAGGTTGATAAATATTCTTTATTTTCGGCTAACGTTTCGACGTCTTCGTCTTCCTCAGGGCCAATGAAGATCCGGAATATATGGCTCGATGCGACAACGAAGACCACGTCGAGAAAACGAACGACTGTGGACATCGCCTCGGATCATCGGCCTTGAGAAGGACGAAGACGTCGAAACGTTAGCCGAAAATAAAGAATATTTAGAAACCTCGTGTAATCTTATCAAAGAGAGAATACATATTGATTAGTCATACCGAGGCTAAAGGAAACTTGGTCTTGAAACAAGACATTGCTCAATAAAGCGCAGTTCTAAGACATGCTGTTCGCCCTATCCGTAGCAGCTTTGACGGCTTCAATAACGGCGGATCGAAAACCTGAAGATGAGCAATTATTAGATGTGGTTGGTTGCGCAGTTCAAAAGATAAAAGAAAACAAAAGAACAAACGATTAACTGTCATACTGATGCGATTTAACCCTGCACTGTAAAAGATATGGTCGCTGAGTTACCAAGCCTACTAAAGTTTGCAAAAATCTGCATTATATTTGTCCACGGGTTTAGCTAAATATTTCTTCAAATGTTAAGAATACCAGATTCCTCCAATTTCCTTAGGCCTGATATTGTTGTTCCGCCCGGAGAGCAGATTTTATCCCTAAGGGCTGCCGGATGTTCACCAGTGGCGAGGACCATTTGTGCTGCACCCTGGAAATTTGAGCAGAATACAGAAGATTGGTTAGAAATTTCTATGTAATGGAGCAAAAGAAAGGCATAGTACCTGAATAAATTTAATGAAAAGTAAAAATAAACATTTCCTTGACTAAATCGGTGTTATGAACGTTTATGATGGGGCGGATAGTACGGTGGTAGTGATGTCCGTCATCACAAGCATGGTGATAGTTCGATTCAAGGCCGGACCAACCAAACCTCTCATCACTCCAAGGTCGGGAAATTGGTATCGGACTTGTATGGGAAAAATTACTCTCTGTAATCCAATTGGGAACGCTCCAGCCGGACTATCTCAGGACTCTACGGAGAAATACTCGATCAGCATTACACAATATTTAAGATGAAATGGAGATCCATAGGCAGCAATCGAAGCTACGCGTAAAAGTTGGAAAATCTTTATGGACAATGGATGCGAGGAGACGAATAGGATGTGAGAAGTTCTTGGACTTGCATGCATAATGACGTGAGGACGGATAAAATAAAAATAAAATAAGAACATTTATGACTTTAAAATATGAAGTCCATCTTAGCTTTCAGAAGTGTTTCAAAAAGATCTTTCGACAATGCTTGTTTAAAAAGAAAGATATATCCTCAAAATCACCATAACACTTTGCGCTGCAAGTTTCAAAGCAGTTTCTCGGGAACAACCAGCCAGCACTCCACCATCAGCCAACGATTCAATGAACATATAAGCCTGAAACGGTAAATGGAAAAACTAAACTTCCAAATGCCTATGTGTGAAGAAGGAAATATGATTTCTTTATGCAATATGAAACCGTAGGAATTTATCCAGACAGCTTGCAATATGAAATGATTTTAAATAAACAACCACGAAATTCCTGAAAATCTGAGAATCTCCCTTACATATTAGTGAATCGAACGTTAGAGTAGGATAAACACATGGCAGGTTTGAGTACTGCTGTGAGAGGATCTCCTTTGCAACACTAAGGAATGACCAATAAATTCCTTTGCATTGTTCAGATTACATAAGATACAACCGTCATCAGTCCTGAAGGCGAAGATGTCGGAACCTTAGCCGCATAAAATTTGTATAGCGACCTCGTGGAAGCTGAACAATCCAAAGAAATTCATTGATAACTCACGCCAAGGTTAAGCGGAAGTCGATCTATTGAAGTATTAAGGAATGAATTCCAAAATTACATGTATAATGAAACCCAAGGGCACGTGTAGCGCAGTGGTCGAAGGCGCTCTGCAATACGCATGGGCTCGATCCCCGCGCCCCAGGCTCAATAAGCGCTCCGTCCCTCCGGGATCGGCAAATTAGTACCATACCTGTCTAGGATAGGACAATCACTTCCAAAGATGCTTAATGAAGTCGAATTCATGGTGCATCTCTCAGGGATTGGTCAACGCTGGCAGCTTTATCCTTCTTCATAAGAAAATCTACATGTGCACAATGACTGAGTTCTCTACGAAATTGAGCGACTTTTCGATGGAAAATAGAATGGAAAACAAATATGTTGATATTACAGAAACAGCGCCGAGTTACCCATGCGGGAGTCGATCCTGCTATTGCAGCGTAAGCGTTGAAATTCTTCGAATCCACGTCCAAGTACATACCAACTTTCGAAGCCAAATTCTCCACGATTTTCATCTGAAACATATCTAAGATAGAAAAATTAAAAACAAAAAAAACAAATGCAACGTTAATAATGCTATCAGTGAGCAATTTAACGTCCCGAGTGATCTCATCTTTTGGAAAAGTTTCCGAAAATTCTGTATAATTTTGTTCGTATTTTTGTTGAGCAAACGCGAGGTGTTATTATTCTTTGTTCACGATTAAGCTGACGTTTCGGCGGATTTCGCCTTCCTCAGAGTCTGGAAAGGTCAAGTTGACAGCAATCCACTCGGCCAGACGCCTCTGTAACCAAACAAAGAAACTCTAAGCCAAGATCTCAATCACTTTGAACACAACTTTGCACACTCACCGCTTTCTATGAGGTTTCCACTAAGTATGTCACGTAGAGACCAACCGCACAAAAATCACATGGAAGTATAATGTGCCCCTCACATCAGAAAAGCAGTTTTATATACTGCCCTATATCACGCGTGATAATGAGGCATTCTTCCCTGCGGTTCATTTTCGGATTTCTGGAATTAATCCAGAGTGCCTCGAGAGTTTTTCGCGCCTGTGTTCTTGATTCGCGTGCGAGGATCGTGACACATACTTCGAAGTCCTCCCCGTTATGTCTCTGGGTCCTATGCGTGCCTAGCGGGGTATTTGGTCTATTTTTGCCGGCTAGGTGTTCTTTCATGCGGGCACAGAGGGGTCTACCCGTTTCGTCAATGTATTCGTCACCACACGTCTTACAGGAGATCAGATAAACTATACCCGAGCTCATGCAATCACCGTCTCTACCACTGGGGCAAATTATGCAATTTTGAGTTGCACATAGACGGTCGTATAGGCGGTTATGAACTAGTTAGCGCCTTAGATTATTCGGTGGTATTTCGATTATCGTTACCGAATTCTCTAGACTGGCCCTTCTTAAGCAGCGTTTTATAGCTGTACTTATATCATTTGAGATGAAGGGTAGGATAAACGGGACCCTTCTATCGCTAGAGTTGTCGTTTGGAGGCGTACG